TCTCTCTCTCTCTCTCTCTCTCTCTCTCTCTCTCTCTCTCTGTGTGTGTGTTTCTCGTTCGTCATTTTCTCGCTCTCTACATCGGCTGCTCTCTACATCGTTTCCGTCCTTGTGTTCGTCTCCCTTCTCAGTTCTATTGTCATTTTACACTTTTGTTTCTTGGGCTCTCCGCGTCTGTCTTGTCGCGACGTACCGCAATGTATCACTCGCGTCTACGTTTTCTACGTTTTCCGATAATTCTCTCTTAGGTATTCGTGTGCGAGGCGGTTAACTTTTACTCACAATATTTTCAATTGCAACTTTTTTTTGCTCCTTATTTATTTATCCCTTAAAAAAAAATCCTGCTGAAAAAAGCTAAAAGAAGCTAAAGAGACTGCAAGCTCGCGCGCTTGTTGCGTATCATTGTTTATTATACGTTGCGTATTATTGTTTTGACTAATTATTGTTGCACATATATTTTACAATTCTATTTTATACAACGAGAGTTAATCAACACGATACCTCGCATCGTACGGATGCGAGATTGTCGATGGTCAGCGCAGCCGTTGCTCTAAATAGGTGATGGTTAGAAGTTATATCAACCGTTATGTAATAGCTACTGGCGTGCATGTGCATCAGGTAAATAGCCAGGTAAATGAGCGAGAGGGAGAGGCAATGATTCTAAGCCTGCGTCCGACAAGTTGGCGTGCGATTGACATTTAATTATTCGTTGCGCATTCAGGCGGTCCGTTTCTCCTCTCTCCCTTTCTCCTTTCTCTTTCTTTCTTTCTATCTCTCTCTCTCTTTCTCTCTCTCTTTCTCCTCCTTCTCTCTCTCCTTACGCGCACCCTCATTCCCGTTGTCTTTTCTCGTCGCTATTTAGGAGGCGTGACACGGCAAGGGTTAGCGGAGGAATTGGACGCGCCGATTAAATCTCCGGGATTTAATCTAGAATGAACTGAGAAAATTGGATTGTGGAAATTTCGAGAATTGACGGGAATCACGAGAGAATTTCTATATAATACTCAAGTATGCATTCAACTAATGAAAATTAAACATTGATTAACTCACAAGCACAGAAAAGAGAGCGCGGGACATTTTTAATAAATTATATCAGAACTTAGCTAGTTGAACGGTTGAGCACTATTTAGTCTTTGCGAAACGCGTTTCCGTGAATAGTAATACGACTAGAAATCAATTCTAACTCCTCTATTATTTAGATGTTCGTAGCGAACTTCGCATCATTATACAATTAGTGCGCAACTGTGATCAAATATTAATACGCGCGCTAACATTGAGAACAATTATTGTTATTCAATAGCACGAAGCACCCTACTATGTGACTTCCACGCACGTAGCGGAGAATTTATGAGCGATCCGGCGGCTGTTTTCGTTCAATAGCCCGAAATATGGAAAATTATGGTTACATGAAACGTACGTTCATTCGCTGGCGCGCAGCCAATATAAAACACCATGAAATTATTCGCGCTGATGTCAGTAAGTTTCAACTGTTTATCTGCTAAAATTGTTCAACATGTTTCAAGCACGTAATATAAGATAAAAGTGTATATAAATACCTGAACACTAATAACACTAATACTTAACTCTGGATATTATTACACTGAGAAAAAAATACACGAAAATTGATATGTGAGATAAAAGTTTATTTCATAGAAATAACGTTTATTCCACAAAAATAAACTTTATATCCCATATATAAATTTTCAAGTATTTTTTCCTCAGTATTCTTTTGATCCTTAAATATGAATATTTAAACTTTCAATATAGAGGACATACAGGCAACTCGCGTACATATATATGCGGACGTGCGCAGAATTGAGCGACTTTTTAGAACCTGCTAGAAAAACTCTCACTTCTTATTTAAAAAAACAAGGTTGACTTCCATATTCTTGGTAAATAATCGTAGTTACAATATAAAATCAAATGTACTTTTCCCCCTAAAAATCATATAAATTTTTAAAACATTTTTGCCGAGTTTTTAAGATATTCAGGTGGTCTGTTTAAAATAAAACTTTATGAAACTTTATCGTCATTCACTAACAAGTAAATCTACTCAAAAGGTACACTCCGATTTCTTTCTAATTTCGCACAAATGTAGACGTACAAAAAATATTTAAATCGTATTTTTCATTTTGGCCCACTTTGAGTTTCACGAGCAGTTTATAGCTTTTTAATGTTCTCACTTTTATCATCAACAAATACAATAAAAATGCATAAAAAATAAAATTGAATACAAGATATAGTTAAATAATTTTAACAAAATCGACATAGCTGAGTCACGAACCATTCTAAATTTCTTTAACCGAGATTCCAACCGAAATATTTTACATCTGTGTTAAGTTAATAAAAAATGGTTCGAATCTCGGCTAAACCGAAAGAAATCTAACAATTTTAATTAAAATTTAATAAAATTAAAATTTTTTAATTAAAATTTTTTAATTAAAATTTTAACAAAATCGGCATAGCTGAGACACGAACCATTCTAAATTTCTTTAGCCGAGATTCCAACCGAAATATTTCAAATCTGTGCTAAATTAATAAAAAATGGTTCGAATTTTGATCAAACCGAGAAATTATTTGTATAAATAATTTTTTTTTAACTTTTTACATGTTTTGTTTAAACATTTTATTATTTATACAAACAATTTTGCACATTTGACTTCATATTCATAATCAGCAAACCAAAAACGCCTATATCTTGTATTCAATTTTATTTCTTATGCATTTTTGTTGCACTTGTTGATCATAGAAGTGAGAACATTAAAAAGCTATAAACTGCCCGTGAAATTCAAAGTGGGCCAAAATGAAAAAATATTTTTTGTACTTCTACATTTATGCCAAATTAAAAATAAATCGGAGTGTAACTTTTGGGTAGGTTTATTTGTAAGAAGGCAACACGCAAAACGCTTCCAAGATTTAACCACATATTCTCGGCAGGCTGTAACCTAATCTTACTCATTTCCTATTGCATTCTCTCATTCTCTTCATCCTCTCTCGCTTATGTACGGGCGGAACA